ACCTTTTCTCCAGTGCTCTAGGATGAGGCTTCTTGCGTTTCTCTCCTACTGTACAAGTCTCCCTGTGTTGGCATAGCGGAGACTGTGTGACAGGCTTGGGAGATCCGTTGAGCCTATGAGGAGTATCGGATGGGCTACATACAGGGATCTTCAACACGAAGGCAGTCTGGAGCTCAGATTTTGAGAGCCTTTATTAATCATTTCAGCAAGGTCATGCTAGGATTCCGGAGCCTTCTTTATTGCTTTGATTCAGTGGTCCCATCTGAGCTCAGTAGCTGTCACACAGCAGAAAGTGGAGGCCCATGAGGATTCCTTCAAATACTGTCTTCTTGGGCTAAAAATTCTAGAAGGGGAAACTGAGTCAGCTGCTTGGCAGCAGCCATGCACCAAGCACCTACTCTGCCAGGAAAAGTCTCAGGGAAGTCTCTAAAAGTTCCTGTGTGGCCCCACTCTATCTACAGGCCTCTCTTCCATTACCGGAACCTTGGACCATGCCAGTTACACACAAATACACACACACACACACACACACACACACACACACCCCACACACACACACCACACACACACCCTCTTAGTCTGAAGCCAATGACATTTGAAGTTATGTCATGAAATATGATAGGTGGAAAGAAATATTTTGTTCTCTGTCTTAAAACAATCAGAATCTGAAGGGAAGGAATTCCATTAATTAATTCTAGTGCCACACCCAGCTATTGCCTTTGAAGGGGCTCCTGGAAGATGAGGTGTTCAAAAAAAAAAAGAGCTATGTGTATCTTACACTGCTGTTCTTCTAGACTGATGTACAGTTTGCACTTCCTGTGTTTTCTATCCTTGGACCATTTAATATTGGCCAGCATTGAGGTTTGGATTTTGAAAACACTCTCTGTAGCTGTTCTCCTCTGAGGGGAATGGATGCTTACTCTCTAAAAGAAAATCTTTGTAAGAGATGGTGGTGACCTTAAAAAATAATTTTTGTACTATAAAATTAGAAGCACAGGCTTTTTTTTTAATAAAGTTAATTAAAGGCTTTTTATAAGTAAAGTTAAGCTAGTTTTGTCTGCTGTACCACTCCAAGTGTGGTTATGGAGACAGTACTCTATCCCTCCCCATCTACAACCCCGTGGACAGAGGGATGCTGCATTAGTTATTTCTGATGCCGTGTTAAAACACTATGGGCAAAGCAGCCTAAGGAAGAGGGAGTTTGTTTTTGCTTATGGTTCCAAAGAGATAAGAGTCCGTGATACCAAAGTGGAGGCATGGCAAGAAGCTGGCGGCATGGAGGCAGGCGCAGAGAGTTTAGAGTTCACATCTCAGTCACGAGCATGAAGTAGAGAGAGCACAGAGGGAATGGTGTGAGGCTTTAAACTCTCTAAGCTCGTTTCCAGTGACATACATCCTCTAACAAGTCCACACTTCCTAAACCTCCCCAAACAGCGCCACTCACTGGGAACCAAGGATTCAAATGTCCGAGACTGTGGGGGATGTTCTCATTCAAACTACCACAGATGCCCGTGGATTGGAGCCACTGAGAGAGAAAACCACTTCTAATCAGACTGAGCCCTGAACACAAGTTTCTTCTCTTTATGAGACCCACTCTGATTCTAGACTGTTGAAATCCATATTAGAGTGAATTGTTATAGAAAAGGTAGTTATTGTAATACCTGACAGGTAGTCAGCATCTGTGTGTGTGTGTGCGTGTGTGAGTGTGTGAGTGTGTATGAGTGTGTGTGAGTGTGCATATGAATCTGTGTATTTGAGGGTGTATGTAAACATGTGAGTGTGTGTGTGCATGTTTAGGAACCTGCCAGAAAGACAGGATAAACACAGCAGGCAGTGGTAAGTATGATGTTGAGACTAGCGCCAGGTGCTGTAGATGCCCACCAGTGTGTGTGTGTGTGTGTGTGTGTGTGTGTGTGTGTGTGTTGCATCAATCTGTGCTGAAGAACATCTCTAGCATGCTTGCAGGAGAGTGCAAAGTGACGAATTGGGGGGGGGGTGCAGAAGGAAAATGCTGCTTGCTCCCAGCCCAGGGTCCAAGGACATATGTCTTGCATGGGACAGGGCAGGGTTTTGTCTTATCTGGAATTCTCAGACACCAGCAATTGCATGGGTCTTCACCTCCAGAACTTAGGCCTTTGGATCCTGGGCTGGTGTCAGGCAAGGGCTACCCCTGGGGCATTGTGGGATAGGGTGTTGGCTCTTTGGGGCCTGGGGTCTCAGGAAAGGGAAGGAAGATACCAAGAAGAAGATGATATTAAGTTCAGACGGAGGTGATAGCAGGACAGTAACTTCAGCCTGGAGGATCAGCTTTTGTATTTCTCCTCACAAAGGGAATGGAACTATTAGAGACCGAGATGGTGGTGTGGTGGTGATGGAGAAACTGGACCACTAGCCCCAAGACAGTGCAGAACCACATCTACTTAGAAGTCCATGGGAACCATTCTCACATGCAATGTGGGCACCCACTTGTTCATGATTTCCTGGTTACTTCCAGTCCCTTAACAACACTGCTCTTCCCGGGCTTCCCTCTCGCCTCTGTCTGGTTTTCAGCTTCATTTACAGGCTCACCTCTTTGTCAGAACCCATTAACACGGCTCTCTTGAGACGGCTTCCTCCTTTTCTCACTGTATCATCTGAGAACATCTCATCTCTCAGGTTCAACTATAACATCAATCTCTCAGCATGCTCTGCTCACAGCCCCCAGTGCCCAGAGTGTCCCAGAGTGCCCCTCAAACTCCTGTCTACAGCAGAGATGGCTAAGCTGCCATCTACACATTGTCCTTCTGTCCAGATCCCTGTTCTCTGAGTACCACACACTAGCTTTCCTGTTCTCCCCAGCCTCCTTAGTTAATTTACTGTGCTCTGAGTGAGGTGCTTTCCTGTGGCTCCCCTGGACCCTTGCAATTACCCATCTGACCCACTACAGACTCAAGTTCTCACTCCATCAATGCTATCTTGTATCTCACGTCAGCAATGGCCTTCATAGCACGTAACTCTCATCTGATCCCGGGCAGAATTCTCCAGCGGCCTCTCATTGCTCAGATACATAAGCTGAGTTTCTTTCCTGGGCTCTTATGCTCTCCTTTTCCCCAACTTCTCTCCTGCACCCCATCACCTCCCACCATCTTGCATTGCACACTCTCGGTATTTTGAAGCGCCATGAGTACTCACAACTATGACCTCGTGCCTTCACGTGGGTTTATTTCCTTTTTCAGAATGGTCTCTCTGTGTCCGTCCATTGGAGACATTCTATCGAATGGCAGCTGAAAACGGCCACTGTGAGAGTTCTCCCTGATTTCCCCCAGGGAAGACTCAGCTCACCCTGTGTTTCCCTAGCACCTTGTAGAATTGTTTTACTGAGATTTTTCTATTAGCCTGTATGTCTCTCGTTTCATTTGTAAAGTTTTTGGGGGGTTATCCTATGTCTTTATTCTTCATTTTTTAAAATAAAGATTTATTTTATTACTAGTTTTTAAGTGTGTTCATTCACACATGTGAATGCAGATGCCAATAAAGGTCCGAAGGGCCAGGTCTCCCTGGGCTAGAGTTACAGCCAATTGTAAGTGCTGTGGATTGAACCTGGGTCCTCTGCAAGAAGAGTACATGCTTTTAACTACTGAGCCATCTCTCCAACCCCATATCTTTATTTTTCTGCAATGCAATATAACACATCCAGTGGTTCAGTGGTCAAAATTTAGAGATAAGGAGTAAGTATAAGACTCGTTTAGTCTATTCAGGCTGATGTAACAATATTACCATGCACGGAGTGGTTCATGAGCGTGAGGTTTGGTTTCTAACAGTTATAGTAGCAAGGAGTCCAGAATCCCGGTGTTGTTGGATTTGCTGTCTGGTGAGGGTCTGTTTATCACCGATGGGACAATTTTACTACGCCCTTATATGATGGAGAGAACAGGGGATGCCCAGGTCTCTTTAATTAGGGCACTAATCCTACTCATGAGGTTTTCCCTCTTCTAATGCCAGCACTTTGGGGGGTAGGATTTTAACATGAATTCAGGAAGACATAAGCGTTCAGGCTGTGGCGGTGACTGTGACCCACCTTATGGAATGGAGCATTTCCAGGGCTGCAGGAGCCCCTTGTCCTGACCCACTCATTGCCCAGCTGTCTTGGTGTTCATGGTAACTACCTTTCCTTTATAGTCATACTACCTGTGTGTGCATCCTAGAGCCTTACGGTTGAGTTCACCTGGTTCTTGAACTTGATGCAGGTGTGAACATGTGCGTATTTTGTTGCAGTTCTTTTCTTGGGTCACTTTGTGAGAGTCATCCCCTTTATGTGTGTTTGATTACATGTCTTCCTTTGTTTTGCTATCTACTAGTGCTTTGTGATTGGAATACTCCACATGTAATGTATCTGTTATGGGGAATTTGGTTTATTTTCACTTGGGGTCTATTAGGATGGTTGGTGTACACCATGAGTTTCTTTGGGGGATAAATCTGGGATGGAACTGCCTGTTGCAGGATGTGTTTACCTTCATTTCTACCAGGTGACGAAAATCTGCTTTTCAAAGTTGGTCCTACCGTTTCTGGTCCTCCACTGCTGAGAGTTTCCAGCACTTTTATCTTGACCAACACTTGGTATTACCAAACTTTAAAATGTTTACCTGCTGACTGCTATGTGGTGGAATTTCACTGTGGTTGTAACCTATGTTTCTTTCTAAGTAATGAGGTGGTACCTTTTCGTTGGCTTAGGACATTCGGATTTTCTCTTTTAATGAAGAGTCAATTTAAATTTTGTTCACTTTTCTCATGAATTATTTGTCTTTATATTATTACATTGTAAAAATATTTTTGTATCGTCTGGATTTCAATCCTTTGCCAATGTGCATTGAAAGTAGTGTACTGTAAAGTCACACACTGGATATGTATGGATTAGAGTGATTCTTATGCTTTACCTTCGTGTTAATGCGCAGACAGTTAGAGGAGACAAGTGACAGTCCACACCAGTGCACATTAACGCCTCCTCCCCCTCCTCTTCCCAGGTGTCATCATTGTCCCCAGCGCTGGTGTTGGCATCGTCCTGGGAGGCTACATCATAAAAAAACTGAAGCTTGGTGCACGAGAATCCGCCAAACTGGCGATGATCTGCAGCGGGGTGTCATTGCTCTGCTTCTCGACCCTGTTCATTGTTGGCTGTGAAAGCATCAATCTGGGCGGCATAAACATCCCTTACACCACGGGGTAAGTGCCTCTGAGGAGCCACCCTGCACCGGCAGGCGCGCAGTGCCTGCTGCGTGGTTCCACACCTGGCCCACACCTGGCCCACACCTGGCCCACACCCGGCCCACACCCGGCCCACACCCGGCCCACACCCGGCCCACACCCGGCCCACACCCGGCCCACACCTGCCCCACACCTGGCCCACACCTGGCCCACACCTGGCCCACACCGTGTCTCCCTCCCATCTGCTTTATGTGCTTTGTCTCTGCAACTGCAGCTCATGCTCCTGTTGGGTGGAGGCTGCAGGGTGTTACCTTTGTCTGTCTCTTTGATCCCACAGAGTGACCTCCATGGCATTTTAATCACAGAAGATGAGGGGATACTTATTGTATTAATTAATTTTCTCTTTCCCTTAAGTGAGTTGTTCTTAATGGCTGGAGAGGTAGCTCAGTAAAGCGCGAGGAACTAAGTTTGATCCCTGGAACCCTTGTAAAAATGCCAGATGTGGTGGTACACACCTGTAGTCCCTGTGCCGGGGAGGTGGACGTGAGCTGATGCCTGTGACTGGCCAGCGAGTCCACTCTAGTTGGTGGGTCCCAGGCTAATGAGAGACCATTTCAAAAATCCAGATGGAAATTCCTGAGGAGGAGCAGCTTGTGAACACGTGTGCACACACATCTGCTCACACATGCACACACAGGGACCTGCACCTCCACCAAAACCCCATCAAATTTATGAAATACCATCCACTATGGAAAGATTGGCTTCCACCCGAGTCCTCCACCCACCCACTTATTCTCACTTCTCCAAACTAAAGCCAACCATGTAGTATTTTTTCTTTTATTTCATTTGTTTTCTCATAGAATATATTTCCATTATGTTTCCCCTACACCCTCCCCAGATCCTCCCCACCTCCCTACTCACCCAACTTCATGTTCTTTCTTTCCTAAAAAAAAAAAAAAAAAAAAAAAAATAACAAACAAAACATAAGACAAAAATACCAGAACAAACCAAAAACCCCATAAAAATAACAACCATGGAATCCAGTTTATGCTGTCCAACTCCCGGGCACGGGCTTGCCCTGGATCGAAGTTGATATACCCTGTGAGACTTCCCTGGGGGAAAATGATTTCCTTTCCCCAGCAGGTAGCAATTGCAAGTAGCTTCTTGGTTTGGGATGGACCTTTGTGTCCACTTCCTCTTCTCGGTGCTGGGATTTTGTCTGTTTTGTGCCTGCTGTAACGGTTTCTGTGAGTTCATAAGTTTGTAATCCCTGTTGTGTTGGAAGGGTACTATTTATTTAGAGTAATCCATAAACTTCTGGATCTTAAAAATCTCTCTGCCTCCTCTTCCATGTAGCCTTCCCTTCCCTCCTCTTCCATGAGCCTTGAGGGGAGCGTTTGAGGAAGACATCTCATTTAGGATTGAGTGCTTCCAAATTTCCCGCTCTCTGCACACTGTGCAGTTGTGAGTCTCTGTGTTAGCTCTCATCTACTGCAAGAAGGAGCTTCTCTGCTGAGGGTTGAGCAATACCCTTATCTATGGGTATAGCAGTATGTCATTTTATTTGGAGTCATTTTATTGCTATTTTCCTTTAGCAGAACAATAGTAGTTAGTTTTCCCTTAGGCCCATGGCCTATCTAGCGTCAGGTTCTTGGGCACTTGAGTGGTGTTGGGAATGGGTTCCCTCTCAGGGAGTGGGCCTTACAGCTCAACTTTTAAAAGGTTCCTCCCATGACACTGATGTCACTGCTGCACCTGTGCAGGCAGATTGCTGCTTTAGGTCACTATTGATGGTTACTTTTCATCTCTGGTAACATGCAGAGTAACTTCCAGCACCGTGAGTGCTAGTCAGTAGGGGTGAACTGGTACTTGGGCACCAGCTAGATCTCTCCATGTTCAATACATAAGTAAGTGGTGTCTTTAGCAATGGGATTGTTTACCATCAGATTGTGGAGAACGACCAATAGCCTTGACAAGAGCCTGTGATGTTTGGGGGAGGATGTCTATGGAATTTGTTTGGCCAATGACTCAGCAAGGTGCAACTGTGTAACTGGAGGTTTCATTGGGTGGCATAAAGTGTTTGGTTGGGGCATTGTCTTCCCCATTATATGGCGATTCACTTAAATTCTTTCATATATGTATAGATTTTAGGAAGCTTCTACAATAGGAGCTTCTGATGTTCTTTTCAACAGGCCTTTGGTGTTAGTTGTGCCTCCTCATATTTCCTCTTTTACTTGTCCTTCCATCCCCCTTGTGGTGGTTTGAAAGGAAATGACCCCTATAGGCCCATAGAGAGTGGCACTATTAGGAGGTGTGGCCTTGTTGGAGGAAGTGTGGCTTTGTTGGAGGAAATGTGTCACTGCAGGTGCGCTTTGAGGTTTTAGATGCTCGAGCTAGGCCCGGTGTGTTTCGTTCTCTTCTTGCTGTCTGTGGATCCAGATGTAGAACTCTCAGCTCCTTTTCCAACACCGTGTCTGCCTGCAATGCCACCATGTTTCCCATCATGATGACAATGGACTAAACCTCTGAACTGTAAGCCAGCCCCAATTAAATGTTTTCCTTTATAAGAGTTGCCATGGTCATGGTGTCTCTTCATAGCAATAGAAACCCTAAGACACTACTCATCATTTAATCCTCCTAATGTTAGTTTCTTCTTTATCTTTTTATAATCTATATTCTGTTTCCTTCTCTCTCTCTCTCTCTCTCTCTCCTTCTCTTCTTCCTTCCTCCCTCACCACCCCCTGCTTCTTTTTCTTCTTGAGACAAGGTCTCACTATGTGGCCCTGACTGGCCTGAAACTCATATGTAAATGAGGCTGTCCTCAAATTCACAGAGACTCTCTCTCTGCTTCTGCCTCCCAAGTACTGGATTCTAGATATGTGTAACCACACTTGATTAATATTTTCATTTGGTTTTATGTATTCTTCCAAAATTTCTTTATATATAACACTAAGAACATGTGCTTTTTTGTTTGTTTGTTTGTTTGTTTGTTTGTTTTTACTGTTTTATACTTAAAACATTGCATTTGACAATTGATTTTCTGAGCTTTGTTTTTATGTGCCAATATGTTTGGACATTTCTGTACTGTTAGTACAAATACGAAGCATAGTCAGCTCTCACCCTGGAGCATGCCAAGCATTCTTCTGTGTCTCTTACATACACTACTAATTTAGGAGAACTCACAATACTGTCAGGCAGGTACTGTCATCCTGAATTTATAGGTGACAAAGCTGAAATGCAGACCAAACTGATCCTTTGTTCAGTTTTTGGCCATGTCACTTCCTCACCAAGACGTCTCTCTCTTCACTTTGGTCACATGACTCCTCCTCTATCAAAGACTATTGAGGTCCAGTCTCTCGATAGCCTTCTCCCAGAGTTCTTGAAGAGATGCTACCAGTGGCGGATTGATTAATCTGAGAGATACTTGAATAAATCTATATACACGAAACTCTCTAGTCCATTCACTTTATTCTTCTGAGTCAGTTCTCTCTCTCCACAGCTTCTATTCTGCTCTTGTGCCTAGCTCCTTTCTTGCCTGATTTCTCTCTATATTTTTCTCCTGCTCCCCCTAAGTGCTATCTTAATTCTCTCATCTTAGTTCTGCCCCATCTAGGTTCTCATCCATCTAATTCTTTCCCATCTCAGCTCCTCCCCCATCTCCTTCTTTCTCATCTTGTTCTTTCCCACCTGGCTCTTCCTCATCTCCCATCTCATTCTTCTAGTTTCCTCTTCTAGTCCTCCAATCTATTCTCCTCAAGTCTCTGAGGTTTACAGTTATATACTCATGCAGTAGCAATGCTCTGGCTAAGGAAAGGTCACCAGGCTTGAATTCCCTCAAGGTCAAAAGGAAGGGCAATAAGATCCACACAGAAGAGCAGTAATTGCCAGCCATCATCTGCAACCCAAAAGGGAAGTGACTAATGGGGAAATGAATCAACTAAGGGCTAAATTTGGTTAATATCTTAGCAAAGGGGATTTTATGTGCTCAAACTATATTCTTAGAAGTGGTTAGTTGAAATGTTAAGAATCTATAAGTCACTAAGCCATGGGTGAAAATAAAACTACCTTCTTTTTCCCTTTGGCCCCTTATCTGTCCAAGCTATCTCTGCTGCCATTTTCTGGCAGGGCGGGGGGAAGTGTAGCTAGGCAACCTGCACCACAGCTTGATGTACCTGTAAGTAAAAACCCTTTAGTTCTGAGTTAATTGTTAAGGGTAGATCTGAAACTAGAGATAAGATTTGGAAAGGGGAAGGTTAAGCTTAATTAGCACATCCGCCAGGCCTTCTCAAACAGAGAGTCTAGATGCCTAAGTCTGTTCTTAGAAAGTCTGGGAGTATCACAGATAAGATGTTTCATCCAGAGAAGGTCCTGACCAGAAGTTGCTAATGACAATAGTTACAGAAAGGCCTGAAATTAGGGATCTTGACTGTGTCTGTTGTTAGCACAGTTGGAGAAAGTTATACAAATACTTTAATTGTATAGGGGAAATTGTGTCCAGTGAATGATCAAACATACTGTTCTTAGGAATGGAAAAGCAACAATAGCACATGAGAAATTCATAGCAGGAAACGGCTAATATTCAAAAGCCAACATCACCAAGACCCCTTAAGCCTTGGCTTTGTCCTCTGGAAAGGCCCTTGGCTTCTTCCAGGGATGGCTTTGTCATAGCCAGCCGAATTCCTGCTTCACATTTCTATGCCCCACAGCACTCCTCATTTCCCAATAGCATTCAGCAATCTAAACCATCTTGTTTGACTTGTTCCCTTGCACCTACCTTCTTGTTCTAAGTCACTGAGACGAGCTCTGTTGTCATCTATATAATAGTTGTGTCTCTCATATTTAAAACAATGCGTGATGTTTTGTTGCATGCTTGCATGCATGCATGTATGTATGTATGTGTAGATGAGTGAATGGATGAGTGGCCGGGTGGGTTGATGGGGGGTGTATGGTGGGTGAGTGGATTGATGTAAATTAGATGGTAAGGGGATGGCTGGCTGCATATCTCCAAAGCATTTCGT